CCCCCCCCCAAGGTATAGTCTCTCTGGCTTGCAGCTGCCTTTATTTGCTCCGTATCCCCATGGCTCCACCTATCTTAGCCTCTGCAGTGCTGGGATTACAGATACCTGCCACCTCTTCCAGTCGCGGCTGCTGCCGCCTCCTCCCTCTAGGTAGTCGACTCAGGTCCTCTGCTTCCAAGACAAGCCCTTCACTGAGTAAACCCTCTTCCCTATCCCCTGTTTTTGTGGAACCATTGTGTTCATGCCTTTGTCTTCTGCAAGACAGTTCATTTTCCGATCCAGTTTCATATGCTTGCAGACTAGAGGTCTGGTGCAGGATGGAGGTAAGGACTCCTGACCTCAGAGATTCTTCAAGCCAGGGGCCAGGCTAATGCTCTCACACGCCTGGGGCCTGGCTGCTCACAAGCAGTTCCTTGAGTCCGGTTTAGTTCATCCGTGAAATTCGGGGCTACTTTCATTGGGTCACACGCCTCCTGAAGCTTCATAGTGGAGTTTCCTACCACGTGGTGAACGCCCCGAAATGAGGACGAGTCTTCTGCTTTTATGAAAGCAGGTGATTGTGGCCTCTCATGTGCTGGGGTTAGATGTAATAGATGTTAGGTGTAACCTCAGGAACAAGGAGCAAAATGTGCCATCACAACAATACCACAGAGAAGAAGAAGCCCCTTCTGTGGAGAAGCCCACCCACCCCTGCTCTGAGAGGCCAGGTCCTTTCGATCTCATGTGTTTATGTTTGCTGTGCGTGTTCTTGTGTGTGCAGGTGCATTTGTGTGTGCAGGTATATGCCCATGTGGAAGCTGGAGGGCAGCCTCTGGCATTACTCCCCAGGAATCATCCACTGGTTTTGGACACTGGTCTCTCATAGGCCTGGGGTTTGCTGATGAGGCTGGCCTGGCTAGCCTCAGGGTCTGCCTGTTCCTGTCTCCTTGGAGCTGGGATTAAGAGTATGACCTACTCCGCTGCTGCTTACATGTGTGTTTTGGTGATTGAACATAGCTCCCTCATACCTTCACAGCAAGCAGTTTGCCAAACTGTGCTCTGTCTCCATTGCTGATCGTTTGGTTCATCGCTTCCTTTGGTTCTTGCTACATCAAAGGTTTATTCATTTATTTCTTTTTTTTCTTTCAGGCTGAGAAATAGGCTTGCTTTCTATTGTTATCATTTTTGTCACTGATGTTTGGTGTTCTCATGAACTAAGCAGCTAAGCCCTGGACCCATAGGCAGTAGACTCTCTGGTACCTGCTACTGTCGATGGGTTAGGTGCCTAGCAGGGAGCTCTAAGGAGGGGTCCTGTGTCTCTCTTTCTGTGTCACTGGGTCACAAAAGCAAAGGAGAGAAGTGGAAGGGACTACAGGAGTGCAGGGAAGAGGTAGGTACGAATGAGGACATCGAGGTTGTTGGCATGCACTGAGGTAGGAGAATCAAAAGTTGCAGACCAGCCTGGGCTACATAGCGAGATCACATCTAAATATAAAACAAAACCAACATGTGCACAGCAACAAAGTGAGAAGAGAATGAGGAAGGCAGGTGCTGGCGTAGGGCCCTCCACAAAGCCACAGTAAGACACAAAGGTGAGATGGTTCCTGTAGTTTTGAACGCTCTTGCAGTATTTGTCTGAAGTACAACTTTTGAGTTATCTCTTACAGGAATTAACCAATTTCTAGAAAGATTAGCTTTGCCATGTAGTATAGGCCTTGAAAGAGTATTGGCCTTGATGTCAGAAAGCAGGATTTCACAAGTGGAATCAGGGAGAGCAGCTCTGGCTGCAAGCCCCCAAGGGCTGACTCCTTATTTTGCACTGAACCCACGATGTGGGACCCCCAAATACTGCATGCAACAGTAAAATGACACCAAGTTCATCATCTCAGTGCGCTAAGGAGCCTTCAGCATTGAAAATAATGTGAGGCATGAAGTTCTCTTTTCTGTGTAATGCTGGTCAGATTCCTTCCCTGCTCTTTGCTTTTCCTGGGCAGCTGTTGAGAACATTTCCCAGGAAGGAAGACAGTTTCTTTACTTGCTTTGCATTTTAGTAAGTGTGATCCTCTCTAGCTTCGTAACACAAAGTGTGTCAAGGTGGGTGGCGAGTTGCTGGTTTTTCTTTCTAAGGCTGAATGAGTTTAAATGTTTTAACTTTTTCCTTCACATTGGAAGATTATTGATGAAGGTGTTTTATTTTCATTTGTGGGTGTCCTCCATAATCATGGCTCAGAAACTAGTTCCCTGTCACTCAGGAGTTGGAGGTGAGGAGTACGGAATTGAATCGCCTGCTTTATGAATGAGAACTAAGAGCACTGGCTGGCTGCTTGCCTTGCTGGAATTCTGTGTGGAACAGAGCCCGGTCTTTCCTTGCTTTCCATTGCTTCTCATTACCGTGAAGTCGTCCTTGTCTTTCGCACTTTCTCCTAGGGGCCAGGAATGTGCTCCTTATAATACACTTTGTTAAGAGCTGAAAAGATGGTTCAGTAGGTAACAGCGTCTGCTGTGCCTGCCTAAGACCTGAGTTCAAATCCCTGCACTGACCTGAAAAGCAGGGGTAGCTGCTCACATGCTTTTCACCCAAGTATTGTGAGGGGAGGAGACTGGAAGGTCACTAGGCTTCCTGGTTACCACTTAGCTCACTGGGAGAGAATGGTGGAGTGGGACACCTGGCCTTCTCTTACATGGCTGTGCAACTGAACACACACACACACACACACACACACACACACACACACACGCACACACACACCACACACACACATACACACACACACACACATACACACACACACCACACAATAAAAATGAAAAATATAAATAAATACAATAACCCTTTCCTTTAAACCAGTGTTGTACAGAGGACAGAGTTTCTGTCTAACTCATAACCACCTTTGCCTGTTGTTAACTTTTGCTCACCCTTCCCACTGGCTGGTGTACTTACTTCTCTCACAGAAAGAAGATTGCAATTCCAGTACATGCTTGCTCAGATTTCTTTAGGTGTTACTTATGTGCTGTTCCAGGATTGCACACAGGATATGGTGCATGCGCGTGTGCATGTGCGTGTGTGTGTGTGTGCGCGTGTGTGTGTGTGTGTGTGTGTGTGTGTGTTGTTTTGTCAGATGTTGTTTTCATAGCTGACCCCCATGGCTTTGAAGAGTACTTATGTTTACTAGAAGTTTCTGGAGAAATTCTCCTTGTGATTAGATGAAGTTCTAGATTTTTGGACAGAAGACATCAGCGATATAAAGCGCCATCTATGTCACATCCTGTCTAGGAAACACAGCATTTGCTTGCTGTGGCACTCCTCCCCAGCCACAGTCATCAGTGGGTCTCCCCGCTGTCACCTCCCCCCCCCCCATTCTGTGTACTGCCATCTCTGGAAATCACTTTGTTCTGCCTGTTTGTGGAGTTTGGTGTTAGTTACACTCTTGTGAGGTTATGGGCATAACATTTCCTCCTAGAATAATGTGAGTTTATTAGCAAGGTGCTACATGCTAGAGAGAGTATACCATTTAATCCAGAGCCTGGCCACTGCATGTACATTCCAGTCATCCACGGAGCCAGCCAGGGACCCTGGAGAGGATGTGCTCTTCCTCCTGTGCAGGATGGACCTGAGAGCTGAATGAAAATAAGTGGCATCTGTGGCACCATGGTTAGGCTCTGACTGGTAGGTTCTGGTTCCGTGATAAATATGTGATTGTGTAAGGCAGCTAGTTTGGCAGTGGTGACAGAAGCATTACAGGGTGTATATTGAGGTGTTAGGTGTCCCGGTGAGTCTAACACACCTGGCTGGTGTTGAACCGGTTTCTAAGGTGGAAGCACATAGAAGAAGTGTGGGTCGAATATATATCATGAGCAGTGGCAGAGGGTGGAGACCTTTGAGACGCTGGTGTGATATACAGCCGGCTCGGTACTCGGCACAACGGATGGAGATGACTGTTGGTGATGCCCAAGTTGCCTCTAGAATGCTCTATGATGTTTTGGGATTGGTATTTTAAGCTACGTGAACCAAGTTTCATTTTCTTGGGTCCTGGGAGGGAGAAAGAAGCATGAGTGTAATATGGACCAAACTCCACACAGGCCCTTGAAGGGAAAAGGAAGGAGGGCTTGGGATGGC